CTGGCTCTCTGGGGTGTCCTGGTGCTATTTACGATGAGCAACAAAATCCATGCTACCGTCTTGTTAAAAACAGTGCACGCTAAGTTAGCATGAACACTTGTAGTCGACTACAGGTTTCCAGGTGTAGCAGAATTTTAGTTTTTATGATGTTGCTGGCTCTCTGGGGTGTCCTGGTGTTATTTACGATGAGCAACAAAATCCATGCCGCCGTCTTGTTAAAAAAAGTGCATGTTAAGGTAGCATGGACATGGCTACAGGTCTCCAGGTGTAGCAGAATTTTAGTTTCTATTTTGTTGCTGGCTCTCTGGGGTGTTTTGATGTTATTTGCGTCCAGCAACAAAATCCATGCCATCGTCTTGTTAAAAAAACTGCACGTTAAGATAGCATGGATACGGCTACAGGTCTCCAGGTCTAGCCAATTCTAGGGTTTTTTCAATTTTTTTTACACTATTTGTCAGCAACAAATTAGCAACAAATACTGATGTATAATTGCATTTAATCCATGCCGGTCCCGCTGAGTTTACTGCTAGCTTAACGTTAAGATAGCAGTAACTCCTTTTTTTCGAAATCGGACAAAGCAACAAAATCGGGGTTTTAGCAACTAATTAGCAACAAATTAGCCACAAAATACCGTATATGTTTCGAACGATTCTGCTAACCTTTCACTGCTATCTTAACACACCTCATAGAATTAGATGGTGCTGTGTGTAAATGCCACAACATATTTATTATTATTGAGACATTAGTATTCCGTTTATTTAGTCGATGAGGCTAAAAATATAGAGCTAGAATTGCGAATGAATGATGAATGTATCATATCGAGTGAAGAATATACTAAGAATTTAACTTTTTTACATCTTCTTTCAATGCATCTAAGTCTCAGATTTCATCATATAATAAGACGTGATGATGTTTCGATTGAACGTTTAGTGGTTCAAGAAAGAGTAGAGGGCACTAGAGCATGTGGCAGAACGCCCATGAGGTGGACAGACCAAGTGAGGGCTGCGATGAATGTTCCCTTACACGAATACACAAGGAAAGCGGCTGTTAGAGAGCAGTGGCGACGAATAGTCAAGCGTGCCACAGCGCTCAAGTGACGACCACGACCACTCTGTCAAGAGTGTAACGACTTAGAAGAAGTCTCAGATATACATACACGTTCTTCGTGATTCGTCCTTCAATGTAGATCGTCATCATTATCTCAGCCGAGAGATGTCCTGGCCTGTGCTTAGACATAGACCTGCCCCAAATATTTCCACGACTGCCGATCTTGTGACATCTACACCACGTGACGTCAAAATGTTACAGTAAATGGATATGATATAAAAGCTGTAATTTTAGATTTACTAATAATAAGAAAGAATAACATTAAATTCCAATGAAATTGTCGGCTAGTCACACTGGGCTACTTTAATCATAAAAACTAAAATGTGTGTGAAAATCTAATATAACTTCCAAAATATAATATGAACAATGATCTAATCACATGAAAATATCTTAGATATCATAAGTTTTGGTTTATATAATGAAGAATTTTTTATACAGTGTAACAAAACACTGTATTTTTTGCAAATAAATTTTTGAGGGTGAAAAATTTGCGCCCAAGCTTTAAAAAAATCTATTTATAAATGTGTATTTGGAATAAGCCAGTCTTCACTAAAAGCATTTCTCGATATCCCGACACATTCATCATCCGTGTCCAGAGTTAGAGGGTATTACTGCCTGATAATATCTAAACATAAGAATTTCGCCTCCTTCGTTGCTTTTGTATATTATTCTATTTTAAAATTTTTGAAGTTGTATGGCATTCATGTTTGAAGTTCTAAAGAAAGAACAGGAAAAGAAAGAATCTAAATTTTTTATTTATTTTATAAATAAATTCTACATCTTATAATACACTTTATAAACTAGCGCCATCTAGGAACGACTAGTGAAAATATGTATATATATATATATATATATATATATATACATATATATATACATATATATATATACATATATATATATTAGGGTGTGCCAAAAATGACGATATTTGTTTTTTTAAGAGGTTCTCCATCGAATTTTATGTTTTCCCATACAAATAACATGGTTTTTAATGGTGTTTGTCCTGCAAACTGTGACGAAAATATTTTTTTCTAAAAAAATGAATGAATTGACCTTTTTTAGTATTAAATTTACTACAAAAAGTTCCATTGAGTCGAATATCTATCTATCTTCAATATTTAATTTGTTATATAGCTTTGAAGTTCAAATTTACGGTTTTTTGCATTTTTTAGCTAAACTGTAAGAGTTACAGGAAAATCTTAGATGGCAAATTTGTAGTACGTTTAAAATCGTATAAAAGTTTTTGTCAACTTTTTCGTACCATCAATATCAACAGTTACAGGCTCGCGAACATTTATTTTTTAAAATTGTAGCTTTTACGAACTGAAATATCGATAATTAAACAAAAACTTTGGTGCAAATTTGCAATTACATCAAATTTGCAACAAAATTATCCAATTTCAAGGTCAGATATTTTTTATTATCAATAGTTAATAGTTACAGACTTAGGTATTTGACATATTTTTATGATTTTTCAACTATATTATAAAATATATTGATAAAGGACATGAAATATCAGTAAGGTATAAAAAGCACAGTCAATTTACGATAAAATTTACCATTGTCCATTTTTATTTAACCTGTAGCTTTAATATGTTAACAATATCATTGTTATTAGTTATTTTTATATATAAAGATAGGCTTGCGCTTGACTACAATCAGCGCTGGGAAGCACTGATGAGGTCTAGGTTGAAGCGCGCTTGCCTAGAAAAATGCCTGTTCACTCTAGCCTTGAAGGTACTTGGATTGTAGGTGGCAGGAAACACGGATGCTGGAAGGTTGTTCCACTCCTTAGCAGAATTTTTGTATTAAGTTTTATTTTTATTTTAATGAAATTTTAAGGTACAGATTAAAACTAGACAATGAAATCTGAACAAAAATAAACATTACAAATTATTAGGAGATGTTATAAGAAGCATAAATTTTAGTCGGTTATATTCATATCATCTTATCTGGTCAATTCTAAAAAAGATGAAATAATGAGCTATCATTCTCTCACTAATGTTGGCAATACGTGAGAAACTTGAATGTTGGTATTTTGATGTTCGACTTCCGCTGCAGTGCATAGTATAATTATAAACACAACCAGTACTTCAAGTGTCGTCATTGAAAGTGGTGTATTTATTGTGGTCCGGCTTCGGCCCGTCCCTAGAAGAAGAGCACAAATGCCTAGCCGCATCAAGCTTATTACTTTTCTGCTGTCCCGTTTTATTATGTTTTTATGTTGGCGTTTTTTAGATATTTCTGATATGAGAATATGCAATGACCCGATGTTTATACCCACTGATATATACGAGTGGATAATTCCTCAATTATTTGTATTTTTTCTTATTTTAATCTTTTCTTATCTTAGCAAACATTAAAAAAACTATTTATTTCTTTTTATTTTAGGATTTTTTGTTTTTTTTTTCACCTAAATATTATTTATTTACCATCATAAATATACCGGCTAAAAAGCGAATTATAAATTTATTTCAAAATCTATTGTTTTCTTGGCGAATAAATTTATTTTAGGTGAGTAGAGTATTTTAGGTGAGAGTTCCCTATATCTAAAATTACGTTATTGATTTCAATGTATTGATTCGCGTCATCTTGCACAAACAATAACGCGCAGAATGCATCCGCCATCACGTAGATTGTACTTATCTCAAATTTTAAAGGTCAAGCTAAAATTTATTGGAGAATTAATTACAATAATGCCTACTTAAAAATCTTTAAAAATTATATGAAAAAATTTGACAAAATTTACTGAATTGAATTATATTTTGTATCCCATCGATTTATACAACGAAAATTTCCTTCATCTAATTAACCTCAATCTTATATTATTATATAACTACCAAATTAAAAATAATTTACACATTTTTTACATTCCAGAGGAAGCTTTAGCGGTCTTTTTGAACTTAATGAGCTTTTTAAACTTTTTGATGACAAATCAAAATTTGTCATTAAAAAGTACTTTCAAATAATAAATTATTATTATTAGATAAAATAGAATAAATAGGATACCTATGTGAAGTTACAATTCATGAAATATTATATATTATATATATTCTATACTTTTGAGGAGCTTTTCATCTCACACATTCACAATTCTATAACACTAGCAGAACCCGCGGCTTCGCTCGCGTTAAAACAACAAAAAAATACTCTAAACAACAACAAACTTTTATCCCCTGTTTTATCCCCCTATGGGATGAATTTCGAAAAATGCTATAACACGTATTTATTTTATTGTATTGCATGTTTTCCCGTGAGAATGAGATAATCTCCCGGCAATACCTCACTCCATTTCCACGTGAATAAAAGACAAACAAACACACTTTCACAATTATAATATTAGTATGGATTTTCTCTTTAACGCTTCACGCTGTAGCGTAGCAATATCAATTATGTTAATTGTTACTGACAATATGAAAAGAAAATTCTTATTAAAATGATTATATATACATTTTCATTTATTTTAGTGGATTTAGCTTAATCTGTGTACGTATGTATGTAACAAGTAGATGCGTAGAAGTTAATAATCAAAAATAAGGTACTTGTAGTTACTTTACAGTACATATCTTTCTTACAATCACTTTTTCAAGACATATTTTTATATTAAAATTATTTTACAATTCTATAATTACTTAGACTATTACTATAATTATTTTTAGATATAAGATAATTTTGCTTACAGCATTCAAATAAACTCAACAGCGATCGGGAGTTATATGACATGAAAAATCAGCTTTTATTACAACAATTTTAATAAATTCGATTAAATGTAGTTAAATATATCCTTATTATTATTTACAGTACATAGAAAATATGTATTTTGCTTAGAGCATGTCGGCTTGAGAGACGGATGCCGCTTTTGAAATACGCTTGAATAGAAATTTTGATCCAACATGCATTCTGATGTTGTTGGTAAGTATTGTAGGATAAGCAATTCGATTTTGATAAATTCGATACTAATTGGTTTTAAGTTACCAATATTTATTAATAATAATCGATTATATAGGTATAGTAACTAGCATTGCCCGCGGCTCCGCCCGCGTTCAGATGACCACAAACCAAACTGTTAGGTTTTACATATTAGTATACTCTTACATTGCAGTTTTTATATTTTTTCTTAAAATTAGATGTTTTCCCACGGTGAAAAGTATCCTATATGTTGACCCGGATAAACATCTATCACCATACTAAATTTCATCAAAATCCCTCCAGTGGTTTTTCTGTGATGCGGTAACAAACAGACAGACAGACAGACAGATAAAAAATCTAAAAACTATATATAGATTCAGCCTCTGTATCGATAATGTTTATTTCAATAAGATTTTCCAAAAAATATTTAATGTACAGATTCGGCTTAGTTACAATTTTATTATATGTATAGACGAAAATAATTATTATACCTACTTTATAAGGAAGCAGAGGAGAACGATTTAAATATGATCATTGGTGCGTTTAGGCTAATTATTGACCTTATTATTTTTGAAGACACTTTTATTAAGAGTTTGCTTGCTTAATGCTGTTAACACAATACTAAAACGTAGATTGCACGTTGATTTTTTTGCATTAAAATTATAAAATTACCACCAAGTACCACCTACAGCACTGATACTTAATCATTGTGCAAATTTTCATTGTATTACCGGCATTCTTCAATCTTTTTCTTCAATAATAATTTAAATTAATAGTTTATTTAGTTAGTAATATTTTTTTCATTTAACTTTATATATTTAAGGTAGTAAATCTGTTTTTATCTAAGCCATTTGAACCTTTAATTTCCAATCTATATAATTTTGAAATGTTATTGATCAAATGTATGTAGGATTTTTATTAATTATAAACCACCCTGAGAACTTCCCTTGGAAGAAACTGGTACCAAAATTCTTGTTTGATAAATTGGTGCTACTGGAAAGACCTGGTGCACCAGATTAAAAGGTAGCCCTTAGACCTATGTCCAATCCCCATACTTTATGCCTTGGCCATTGTTGTGTGATGAAAAGACAAACTGTTTTTTTCTAATATAATATTATTGTTTCAGGATTATTCACGTTGTTCAGAAAGCACTTGGACGAAGCAAAGAAAGCTGGATTTTTTCTTTTAAACGTAGAGTAGAATATATTTAGAAATGGATTTAAAGAATAGATTATATATTAATAACAGAATAGATGGTATTATATTATTATTCAATAGTTTTATTGACAACTTCTTTATAGTAGACATTGCCTGTAAATAACTTGCCTTAAACTTACCTACTTGTAAATAGGTAATTTGTATTCGAACCACATTAAATTAGTATCCTAACAAGATAAATTCTAAATTTGTCTAGGTAATTTTATTTGTTTGTTTCTTTGTTTGTTTAAACCTATTGATTTGTGGAATTACGGGTCCGTTTTGAAAAACTCTTATTTTAGGGAAGCTTTCATATTATATAACTGTAAAACAAACTTAATATCTTTGCAATGCGAAAAAATTACAATGTACAATTGAATTTCAAGCAGTCATATGTTTATGAAATGTTCGATTTTGTTTAACTGAAAAAGTACCTTCTTATTATAGAAAAAAATGAGGAAAAAAAACATTTTTAAAATAATTTATGTCAAATCCGGAGCTGGTTGGAACAAATCAAACATTTTGAAAAAAATACGTTAAGATCGGATAAGTAGTTTCGGAGTTCATCGCGGACCAACATCGTGACACGGTATTTTTACCCGACTGCGGGACGCGAAGGAGGGTAATGTGTTTATCAGTCTATGTATGTATGTTTGTTCCTGGCGTTCTATAGATCATATAAAATAGTAATAAATTAAAATGGCGTATTTCAAACGTCAATTTCTGTGTCTTTATAAAACCTATATATTTAAAATTTAGTTAGAGTTTAAAATATAAATAATATTCCTTCGTCAACTTGCTTTTATTTTTGCAGGTAGCTTTTATGCAGTCGGGTTTTTTATTTTTATAATATATTTTTGATATATTAAGATGTATGATATATTCCACGCGGACATGACTTGTACAGTAATAACTAAGTGGACATTTGTTTTGTATGTATAATTAAGTAATAAAAGTAAATTTGTTATTTTCTTTACCTATTCTAAATAAAAGTATTCAATAGAACTGTCAAAAAGATATTAATATATATATATATATATATATATATATATATATATATAAATAAATATTAATAAATAAATAAAAAAATAAAATAAAATTAATATATCTATATACGATTAGACAGGATAGAATAACTACCTAGCTGGTCTTGTGTCTAGCATGTACAACTGCAGATCCTAAAGTCCCGGGTACGATTCCTGTTTCGGGCGTAGTATGTATTATTATTATTTAGTGAGTTTTCTATCAAGAAATGGTCAATGACAGTCCGGATTTTGGAAGTTGATGTTTCACCCCCGTGCCTCGGAGACTAGAGCACACCAACACATAGATATTAAAAGGTGGGTCGATCGAACAGTTTTGTAAAAATTAAATGAGATAATTCATGTTATAGGAAATTCAATAATACTTCTATCTTTCTGTTGCCCTGTAAATATATTATCTAACTGGACTCTAATCATATTTGAGATAGCTATTTAATGAGTTTTTTCTTTAAGTTCATTTCTGTGAGTGTCTTCAAAATCGTTGATATTTAAAAATCGAACGCCATTAGAAAAAATTAAGTGAATTTCACATCAATATTATTTAAAAATTACTCGTAATAACTAAATCAACACATTCACATTGATGTAGGTACCATAGTGAGCCCCCCAACGTGCGTTCACCTTGTCGTGGTGGGAGGGCTCAGTAGTGCCCGGCAATACAGCCGGGCGCGAAGCCAATAAACGCACAGGGAGGTGGCCCGCTTCGGTGGGCGGTGGGAGGCGGCCCTCTTCGGAGGGTGGTGTACCATGCGGGTTGCTCCTGGTACTTCTCTGATAGCAGAGTGGACCTTGGAGCAACCCCGTGGTTGTAGTGGTCTGCTTCGGCAGACCTGCCGTCGGGGCGTCGTAGTTGAATGCGTAAGCGATCCTGCGACGCCCCATTAAGACGGGGGAAGGCTTTGTTGGGTTTTAGTGGGTAATACTGGCTTTACCGGTGAGTCCCACACTTCGTGCGTAAATGCATTTCCCAACGTTAAAAAAAAGGTACCATAGTGAGTAATTTATAGTGAATATCTTCTCACTAAATTTCACCGTTTTGATGGGAGGACCGAGGGAGTAATTATTATAACTAGGCATAGCGATCTTTATCTTTAGATGTCGTAGATCGCGATAGAAAATACAAAAAATATATGCACGTCAGTGTCAGACGATTAAGTATTTGATACTATAAAATATTATTTATCCCTAACTGAAAGGAAATTTACCTTCCACCAATATATTGTACTAGTACTTACTAATGAATTCATAAGGGGCCATTCATTAATTACGTAAGGATGATTTTGAATATTTTTGACCCCCCGCTACCCGCCCCCATGTAAGGATGCATAAGATTTCTCGCACCACACCTCTCCCCCGTCCCCCTCCTTCCCTCTTCTTACCTAGGATTCAATCATTTTTTATTTTCCAAATGAATAAAATAAAATTAATACGTGGGAAGAATAATATAATTATTATTTATAAAAATTAAGATGGACGAAATAGAAATAGATTTTTAATTATAAATTTCGACGTGTAAAATATTACGTAAGAAAGGGATTAGCGAACAAATTGAACTGAAGTAAATAGTGCATTTTTCACTGGGTTGAAGCAAACAATTTAAACTAAACAAAACGTGAATGCGTATGACATTAGATTCTAAACTCCTGAGGAACATACGCGGGAAAATTTAACTCCGCCGTCTTTGCAATGAGGAAACGATACGCCAATACGGCCCGATTAGTAATATATTTTAGTTACTTATATAGAATTTTATTATTAAATAATCTGTTAAAGTTTAAATAATCAGTAGGTACCTACTCGTACGGTTGCATCACCATAATATACTTTGTGTACTATATTGTTTATTACAAAAAAAATTAAGAGGCTGATTACATTACGAACATGGTTTTTTTAAATGCCCATCTTTGGCTTCTTATTTAGAGAAACTGAAAATCTATGACAATTTTGACTTATTGTATGGTGGAGAATAGTTATTAATATACATATTAAGTAGTTTATAGCGGAATTGCTTCTTAAAGCTAAAATTCTGAGGAAGTTTTTAATGAAATGCGCGACGGCACATTTTCAAGCTCATGGATTGAAATGCTTATTATAGTAAGACAACTACAACTTTTTAGGCACGCCCAATAGTGGGTTATAGCAAATTGACCATATTCAGGTATGTTGTAATAAAATACATTTGGCATTAAAAAGAGCAGTAGATTCGTGTTTATTTTCTTCAGAACTGCAAATCGAGCCGATAATACCAGGACATACAACACAATGTTCCAAAATACAAGCATTGTCATAAAATAACAACTGTCATATAAAAGTAAGTGTGATATTCGGGTGCGCCTACATGCAATTCACATCGCACGTCCGCACGATTGACGACATGTTTGGCTCAGTTTGTAGTGACCCTACTTGCTGTGACAGCGGTCGCGGGTTCGAGTCCCGCTGGCGGCTTTTATAATATATACGTATTTATATTTTATATATATACGTAGTTTATATTTATAATATATACGTATTTAAAGTTATATATGTGTATCAACTATCTGGTATCCATAACACAAGCCTCGTAGCTTACCATGGAACTAGATGGCGCTGTGTCTTAATGTCCTCCTGACCGATATCGGCCACGGCGGCCAATCACCCTGAGACTAGCCAGATCCGCAGAATTTATAAAGAGGTAAAGCTGATGAGTTTATGTTTAAAAAGAAAAAAAAAACAATTGAAACAATTTCATTAACATTGGTAGAAATTAGCTAAAAATTATTGTCATAATTAAAAGAAAAATATAGATAGCATTGAAAGCGTTTGAAGTTTGCGAATAATATTGATGTCAATTCAAACTTAATATATAACTCTAATTTTAAAATCACATAATATAATATGTGCAGTTTACTTCCATTTATAAATACTATGCATAATATCACTTAATATGCATGATTTTTTTTATTTTTTTTATGCAATAGGTAGTTTAGCATGGTATACTGAAAAAAAATATCCAGCTCCAAAAAACTAAAATTTAGCTTTTGTTTACAATTTTCATACCGTCACGGATACTTATGAGCTCGTCAGTTCGCGCGTGACCTCACAGTATGATATACATAATACATTATACATACTGAGAGAATTGGGAAATGACGAGTTCAATTTGTAAGCGACAAAATCGCTAATTGCTCTGTTATGAGTTATGACATACTTTAACGTCATATTCCGTCTGACCAATGGCGTGCGTTTCCACTACTTTGAATTTCCACCTGCTTCTGCACTTTTTAATAATTCTTTCCGTTAAAAAAAAGAAATAACATAAAAATTATTATTATAGGCTTAATTCAAAAGCAATAAAGATTATAAAAAAAAACCTTTATATATATCGCACGCATGTTCCCTAATGTGTTTCTTATCTTTGAAGTATTCGGCTTATTTGACTTTAGTCTACTATTTATTATCTATGAATTTTGACTGCGGAGCGCGGACCGCGGTAGACATATCTCTCCATAAATAATCTGTGATTGCGCGAATAAAAATTTTCGTAGGTACCTATCTTGTTTATCTCAACAGAACAGATATTATTTTAAAATTAAAATGTACGTCTTGATTGCAATATAATTAAAAAAAAATAAACTCAAAATATACGATGTGGTGGTAAAGAAAAATATTTTGTTTAAAAATTTTGGGTAAAATAGTGAAGTGACGAATAACAGAATTGTTTAAGATGCACTTTTTCTATTGTAGACGTGGACAAACAATTTTTGGCATAATCAATTAAATCAGATAGCGTGTGACGAAATATATCCGGCTCAGTGTACATATACTGTAAGTACAGACCAATTAAATTCTGCTATTTTTTAATTTTTACATACGCAAAGTATAACCCTACCAAGTTATCAGGTTATTGAACTATTGATTTACATCTCACTTAAAATACATGAAAATAGTACTTTATAATTACATGACAATAATACTTTCTTTAATACATATTTTCTAAAACAATAATTTTTAAATATAAAATATATTATTATTTAGTTTACTAAATACTGGGTGTGTCATTAAAATTTTATCACTTAGTATAAGACTGCATTAGTTTAAATGTTTTGCATCAGAATATAACTGATAGTGTACTTAAATATACCATAAAACAGTATTGATTTTATTCCAGGCTTTAGCATGGAACTATTTGCCAATTATACACAATAAATATCAAAATGCATAACCCTACACGAGATACTAAAATTGACCTTGGCACCCAGATGCCAATGGTTTCCAAAGGCACCCTAGAAATATGGCAAAATTCTGAAAAACATGCAGATCAATCAATTTCACATAGAAAAATCATAAGAGTGAGTTTTTTTTATTTATTTCTATTATTTAGTTATAAGACCTTTAAAATAGTGCTAGTGCGGCACAAATCACTTTACTATGCTTACATAGAAAGTAGACACGACTCCTTCAATCCTTGATGACTGGTTTTTATTTATCGAAGTTTGCTTCTTCAACTCGGTGTATGTTGACAGAATATTAGTAAATGACAACTTGCACCTTAGTCTCTTTTATTTATGTTTAGGTTAATACTTATTTTTATAATATTACTGAGTGATAATTATGATTTAGTTTTAAAATTTACCAAAAAAATAAAATAAAATACATGTTAAATATTAACAATTTTGTGAAGAAAGCCAATTAAGTTGTGACATTATCTAAAACAACAATAATTATAAAATCAGTAATAATACATAGTAATCTATAGATATAATAAAATTTTAACTGGGTCGAATCTGTGAATATTTTTTGAAAAATCTTATAGAAATAGTCATCGTTATTGATACAGAGACCGAATCTATAGTTTTTAGAATTTTTGTCTGTATACCTGTCTGGGAATGCATCACGAGAAAACCACTGGACAGATTTTGATGAAATTTGGTATGAGGATAGATAGCTGGTTATCTGGGTCAACATATAGAATACTTTTTACTGCGGGAAAATATCTCAACTCTGAGAAATGTAAACTAACCTATTAATATATTTTATGGTGATTCATATATGTATCAAAACAACCTTGTTTCTATCACATGCTAGAATGTTCTTGAACATGAATACATGAATCACAATAAAAATCTGTGGCAAAATAAATTAGACTTAATCCCACTCATGAGCATGTAGGTTAAATTAAATCTACTTATGTTGTAACATTTGTTATAAACAGTTTAGTCTATTGAAGAGGATACTAACAATTGTGGATACTGTGCTTCATAGTTTATATTTTATTATAAAAACGAAATAATGGTATAGTATACATTTTATATCAGCATCCATACTAATGTTATAAATTTGAGTTTGTGAGGAATAATGGATGGATGTTTGTTACTCTTTCATGCCGGAACAACTTAACAGATCTGGATGAAATTTTGCACAGAGATAGATTATAGTCTGGAATAACACTTGATTACTTTTTATCCCGGAAAAATGTATAGAACCCATGGGGTAGATTTGTTTATACCTAGGGACGAATCCGAAGTGAGGGTTAGTCGCTAGTAATATATTATATTTTTTTTTTAAGTGGTGTAGGTCAAACAGAAACAACACAAAAGATAATTTATTACCATAAAGTATAATTTTTATTTATTTTAATATTAATATTGATGTTTGAATTGTTTTAGAGGTGGAATCAGCTGTCAAGGTTGCAAAGGTCTCTAGTGTATGCTGTGGTAATTGTAGTTTTGACATTAATTGTACTCTTTTGTACTTCAAGGACATCACTCTCAGACGAAAATAAGCCAAAAGAAAATATAGAACATGTGAGTGTATAGTTTTATATTATATTTGTTTTATATGTGTTGCTAGGTTATTGTATGGACCAGAAGGGTAATATTTTTTGAGTGTGTATGTATACTTCGTTTGCACATTCCGAAGTTTGAAGGCCAAGATTTCTTCAGATTTAAGAGATATTTGAGAGTGAGCAGCAGTAGCGGGTCTAAAAAATATATTATGTAATCTATATAATATAATTTTTAGGGTACTGCAATTAACAAGGAAACCATATTAGTTTCGCCCGTGCCGTCTGTCTGTGCGCATCTTAGCTCAGAAACTCCTTGTACTTTAAACCTATTATTAGTCACATTCACCAAGTGGTAAAACAAAATCTTGAAAAAGAAATTTTTCTTCTTTACATGTAAAGTGGGGATGTTTTTATTTTCTCGTCTAACCCATGATGTGGGGTGTCGTTGGAAAGGTCTTTCAAAAATATCGCGGTCTTATGAAATCAATTTGTCGATTAAGGGATCCATTAAATATTAAGCTTTAAAGTGTTGCTTTTTGTTAGAGTCAAGTATCTAAATGGTTGTTTTTTGGATATGTGATATATTCGCGGTAGTAGTATATATAATGAAGTTAAAAGCAAAACTATCACAGCTAAGTAGGCTTTACCAGTTTACGACTTATGGTCGACCAACTTATAAAATGTATGGAGAAGTAAAAATTCCATTGAAAATTAAAAAAAGAGTGGTAAATATGAGTTTATGAATCATATCTAAATATAATAATAACATCCTTAATAAAAATAATTCCTAAATTAATAATAATGTTTACGCTTGAATAATTCATTGGAGTGGGCGGCGCGCGGCGTTTGTCAGTACCGGAACGTACGGGGTCTGTGCGTGGGAGGATGGGATACTACGGAACTCTATATTACGCCTGTCCCGAAACGCACTTGGCCAGTTAACAGTTTTAATTTTTTAAATTAAAATACAATAGTTTATCATAACGCACAAGGCATAAACTATAAAATAGTATTACCATTAAATAATAATAATAAATATGTTGGGACATAACACACAGCACCATCTAGTTCCATCGTAAGCTACGAGGCTTGTGTTATGGATACCAGATAGTTAATACACTACACATAATATTATGTATTTAAATTTAAATACAAACATGTTATAAATATTTATATTTGGTTGTATCATTCGGTTTTAATTCAGGTTCTTTTGGAATAAGCCAGTTTATATAATTCAATAAAAATGCTTTCAAAACTAAACTTTATTATAATTTATAAATGTAATAAGATCGAAAGTTGAGGATACATCAAAAGAAGTTAAAGGTGGAATAAGAGCGACCAGTAGTTGAGATAATATTGTTTTGTGAACGTTACCAAGCCTTAATTATTTAAAACGTACTTTATCTATACTATAATTCATGTTATCAACACTGTTTTTAGTGCATGTTGTGTTCTCCAGTAATTGGGGGTACATGTTAAACATTATCCAAAGAGCCTGTATTTTTTTTTGTATATTTATGTACTTCTGTTGGAGATCCTTAATAAATAAATAAATAAAATAAATAAATAATAAAACTGTAGAGGTAAACCAATGTCTGTACATAGAAAAAAAAATGCTAAAAACAGAGTTAGGGGGACGTAAGAAGACAAATAGAACAAATCCAGATTTTGTTCAACTTTTTTGTTTCTCTGTCTGTTTGTCTGTTTGTACGGGCTAATCTCCGAATCTATTGGACCGATTTAAATGAAATTTTGCATGGTGGTACCTTATATCTCCGGGCAACATCTTAGATACTTTATATCCCGGAAAATTAAATAGTTCCCGTGGGATAGTTAAAAAACTATAGTATTTTATACAGCTTAGTACACAACAACTTTGCACTGCATCTAATTTAGTAAAATTTAACATTCTGATACCTTATATTGCCGGTCAAACAACAAGTTACTTTTCATCCCGAAAAATGAACGGTTCCTGTGGGAAGTAATAGATCTCTATTAGTGTTATATTATCAGTTGCAATGACTTACGTTTATTGAAATTTTATATGCTTCACATATTATGTAGTTAAAGTTGGTCGATAATATGAAATAAAGGAGTGTAGCCGGTTCAAATCCCGGGTTTCGCACATCTCATATTTCCAAGAAATTCATTCATTCATTCTCATTTGAGAGACTATGGCCTGATCCCTTTCGTATAGAAGGAAGACCAGTGTCCAGGCGTGGGACGTTATAAATAGCTGATTGCAATATAAACATTAATATATTGTTTTACAATCAAGGTTTACCTTCTCTAAAACACATTTGTTTTATTGCAAGTAGCATTTTTAGGGCTTCTACACGTTCAGTTGATGTGTCTACGGAACATATCTACTAGATCTAGTCCTTGTATGTCTCCATCTGGCCATCACATATCTTCAAAAGTATTTAGCCTAGTATTATCTATACATATAACAAAATTCTAACTAAGTCGAATCAGTACATTAAAATTTTTCGGAAAATCGTATTGAAATAGTCATTATTATCGATACAGAGGCCGAATCTATAGTTTTTGAATTCTTGTCTGTCTGTCTGTCGGTGACCGCGTCACGAAAATATTACTGGACAGATTTTGATGATATTTGGTATGATGATAGCTGGTTATCCTGTTCAACATATAGGACTTTTTACTGCGGGAAAACATCTCATATCTGACAAATCTATACTAAATGTTAAAACGTAACTGGGGACGAACCCGAGCGGAGCGAGGGTCAATCGCTAGTGATAATACATATACACCTTCAATAATAGTTTTTCTCTTTATATATATTATTATTAACATTTTCAGGATATAGTTAAGAATTCATCTCTAGTCAGTGAACAGGTGGTTATTCCGGAACAGGTCAAGAAAGTGGTATATGAGAGCGAGACAAATGAAAGGCCCATTTTCACTGGTGAGTGTTTGTTTTTTTGTTTGCTGAGATATATGTAACAAAACCGCTTGCTGAGTTTCTTTCTTCTCATGATTTAGATTATTTCATTTCGAACTGGTGCTACCACCAGTGAGTCTACACTCATGATGTTCAATGAAAAAATGTAATAGTACATTGCTGAATAAAATTATTTGAATTTAACACAATTATCTAACACTAGCACGGCATCGATGTTAAAAAACATCCATAATTCATTAAGTTTGATCAATATTTAGGTTCTTTTTCCAAAGTTTGATAGCCCATAAAATGCGAAATAATTTTGAAACGGGCCTATACATTCAGAGATTTGCATGTACAGACAAACAAACTTTTTATCTTTTATATTATCTAAGTACTCGTATAATATTGATAATGGTTACCTAACATCTTTTAGCAAAGCACCATATTATTATACTCGTATGTCGATGTTTTTTTTATTACGTAGCCCAGATATACAAACTTTTTATGTAGGTACATTGTACAATCGATAATGTGTTCGTATTTTATTATAACAGTAGCACGATAACGTGATTATATAATAAAAAAAAACCCGTGTTTTAGTTTTATTTTTCTTATCAATGTACAATATTACGATAAAGAGTTGGTTTTGAAGTTTTCGTAAAAAGTCTATAATATTGTTATAAATTGGCTGCAAAATACGGAGTATTTGTCTGCTAAAATACTTATCAAAACAAAATATGTACCTATTAATAGTGTAGAAAAGAGAGTTTTATTTTTTTTAATTTGTTATCTGTATTTTATACAGTATTAATTATTCTAGAAAGTCGTAGAATTATAAAATATATAATAAAAAAAATTATAATGATCGTGGATTTTTTGCGGTATTTTCCTGCGCTTGTTCACTAACTAGTAATGACGGCAATATTTTGTAATTTTGATATTAAATAATTATAAATTAAAATTAAAAAAAAACCCCTACGCAATTTAATTGTCATTTAACGATTGCACTGGCACGCGTGAAGCACTTAATCGAGTAATCATACGCCAAAATGCCTTACATCATTTTGGAAAAGAGCTGATAATCTTACACTGCTCGACCTATATTAACCAAACATAGCTAAGAACCACCGCAAGAGAAGTGGCTTTCAAATGAAAAAAAACGCATCGAAATCGGTCCATCCTACCTATTTGAGAGCTACGATGCCACAGACAGACAGACATCGACGTCAAACTTATAACACCCCTCTTCTTGCGTCGGGGGTTAAAAAGGCCGTATTTAATGCTATTGCTTATTAGCACAACTATAATTACATTTAATATTTTATAATTAATAATTTAAGTTAATAAATATAATAATAAAATTTTAATATTATAAGTCCTAATTCATATCATATTTAGACTAGAATCTCCAAGATATGATGATGATGATGATGATGAAATGTTCTTTAAAATATTAAAGTCTGATTTGACGACAATTCTCTCGCAGTGATAGTTTAAGCAAAGGTAACAGCTTTACGTTCTCTGCCTTAACACGAGAGTGTAAAGCCTCCAATTTACTAAAACAAAAAAAAAGTATATTTTGTCCGACCCTGTAATCGAACCCAAGACTTCAGGATTATTCAAAATGCTAGCGTTAAAACCCAATGAGGTAGTTATTTTATATATTACTAGCGACTCACCCACTCCGCTCAGATTCGTCCCTAAGAACGTTTTAACCTTTAGTATATAGATTTCAATAAGATTTTCCAAAAAATATTTAATGTACAGATTCGACTCAGTTATTATATGTATAGATAGATTATTGTTTTATATATATGATCTTCTGAACTTAAGGTCCAGGCAACGCACGACAGTTCGCAGTGGTACAGTCATTCAAACACGCATGGAAAGGTTATAAGGAACATGCATGGGGTCATGATAACCTGAAACCAGTGTCTGGAATGCCATACGATTGGTTCTCCCTAGGACTTACCATTGTCGATAGTTTGGACACGGCATACATTATGGGGCTGCTCGAAGGTGAGTTTTTATTTTATACTTGAGATCAGAGAGATGACTGTATCATTTGAATTGTAGATTTAAGAAAGCATGATTAAAAAAATTGCAGAATTTTCGTATAAGAATCGTGATTATATTACTATGTAACATATGAAAAATAAAACAAGGCGTTGTATCTTTTTGTGGTGATTTGTTATTCGGTAATTTTAGTTATTTTTATAATATTGGCTAACTTCTCACCCTTGCTCAGCTCGGGTTCGTCCCTATAAATTTCTCAGAGATGAGATATTTAAACTACATGCACATGAGTGGGATTAAGTGTAATTTATTTGGCCACAGATTTTTATTGTGATACATGTGTTTGTTCGGGAACATTCTAGCATGTGATAGACATAATGATGTTTTGATACATATATGAATCACCATAAAATATTTAAGTAAAAAGTATCCTATATGTTGACCAGGATACTATCATCTTACATTATATAGCTATCATCATACCAAATTTCATCAAAATCTGTCCAGTGGTTTTCTCGTGATGCGCTGCCAGACAGACAGACAGACAAAAATTCTTAAAACTCTGGCCTGTGGCCTCTGTATCGATAACAATAACTATTTCAATAAGATTTTCCAAAAATATTTAATGTACAGATTCAATAGTTAATATTTCTATTATAACATTTCCACTGTTCTAAGTTCTTTAGGTTCTATATAATGTACTATAAAGTATTATCATTTTACATAATACCTATGTATATTCATTGATGAAAATGGTATGAATGCATTGTTTGTATGCCAATAAAGATAGTATTAAACAACACAGTTGATAATACTTTCTTTGATTTACACGAATATTTGACATTTTAAATAAATCAATGCCTACTGTTCCATACTGTTACTGTCTGTAACAAGTAAATAAAGCCTTTGAAACGTCTAAAACCCTAGTCTCCGCTGACCATGATTGCTATAAAGCATTAGAAACGTCGGGAACCAAAAATCAAAATGAATGCACGCAATAATCCGAAAAGATAGTTTATTTATTAGTAAATCTTGCCTTTTATGTATATATTCTATTCTTATACATAGTTATTCTATTTATTTATTGGCTATCGTGAAGTTTATAAATTTATATTTCTTTAGTATATGTACATGTATTATATTTTTTTGTGTAATATATTACTATATAAGTATGTAAGTTTGTCTTACACACATATATGTATATCTATATGATATGTATTAGTATATATATATTATTTTATCTCCTTATTTAAATCTCGCCCCTTCTATCTTAGGGTTATTTCCTATACCTTATGCTTGCCTGGAAGAGATCGCTCTTTTAGCGATAAGGCCGCCTCTTGTATATTTTCCAATCTTTTTATATCTTATTTTCTCTCTTTACTGGGTGTACAATTCTTCTCCCTGCCCATTTCCCAATCACTTGAGGTCGGCGCAGTACATTTTCTGTACTTCTGATAGGATTTGGCAAAAGTTTTACGACCGGCCGCCTGCCTGATGTCAACTCTCCTTGGGAATGCTATTGTCTCTCTTTGTCTGAATGGTATCGCGGAAGTCTTGTAATTATTATGCACTTGCGATTTTGTTGTCTTTTAAAACATTTTTATACTATTGCTTAAATTTTTAATGTTGATTTCGGATATATTTTAAAATAAATTTGGGTGTACAATAAAGAATATTATTATTATTTAAAACACCGTTGATATTAACATATTTTATAATGTTATTTTCAGAGTTCGAAGAAGGGAGAGAGTGGATAAAGAATGAACTAATTTTCTCTAAGAATAAAGATGTGAATTTCTTCGAGGTCACCATAAGAGTCCTTGGAGCTTTGCTAACAAACTATCATTTCACACAAGACCCTATGTTTTTGGATAAAGCGGTGAGAGTTATTGTAATAGTTTTATATTATTTTGTCTTACTATTTGTGTTAGTAAATATGTTGTTGTTGGGACATTAACGCACAGCACCATCTAGTTCCATGGGAAGCTACTTGGCTTGTGTTATGGATACCAGATAGTTTATACACCACATATATGTAACTTTAAATACGTACATGTTATAAATATAAACACCCACGATTGGAGTACAGACATTTGTGCTCATCACACGAATGCCCCCAGCGGGACTCGAACCCGCGACCGCTGACACGGTAGTATTGTCACTACAAATTATGTCTTTGTTTTAATTAATGGTTGTATCTTGATATTTGAAATTTGCAATAGTTTCTACATTTATAAAAACAAATGAAATCTTAGCGATGCACTTAATATACCAACTTTAAAAATATAGCTCTAAAATTTGCTCCAAGTAAATACGACTGTGACATATGCACATACCGGCGGACATGACGGCTACCCTTAAATGTATTTTTTTCATATAATAACCCCCATTCATTTTTTTTTCTAATACCGAGTTCCAATAATGCCTTTTAATTTCAATAACTTTTTATTTAAATAAGTATTAATTCAAGGCAGTGGTAGCCCAGCGGTAACGCTTGGGAAACTGAGAGTGAGTGAGTTCAAATCCCTTGTCTTGCATCTCTGATATTTTCATGTGCCAATCATTTCCAACATGGTCACCAATTATCTTACTGTGAACATGCATGTCTGACAGAACCTAGCAAGGTTTCGAAAGACATGTTCTGTCCACTACGATGGCCAAATGCGTGCTAGCGTAGTGCACTATGGCCAGTTCCCCCTCGTATTGAAGGGAGGCCTGTGCCCAGCAATGGGACGTTAAAAAACGGCTGAATACAGGTATTAATTAATTATGATCGTTTCGCCTTAATGAATTCGTCCATGGCGGCCAATTTCACTGAGACAAGCCTAATGCACAGGATATATTATAGTGCACACACAAAGTACACTGTCTATTCCTCTTACACTCAAACTCCGATGGGACGATATTTGGTCACGACCGATGAGATATTAATTTCCATATAACTATTTCCAGAAAGATCTCGGGGAACGTTTAATGGCTGCGTTCTCATCGCCCTCGGGTATACCCTACTCGGATGTGAACCTGGGTACTCGGACCGCGCACGCGCCGGAGTGGTCCCACTACAGCACAACCGCAGAGGTGACGACTGTTCAGCTCGAGTTCAGGGAACTGTCTCGTGCAAGCAACAACCCGGTGTTTGAGGTGGGCATGATGTGTTTTAAGAATATGCTTTTTTGTAATACTATACATATGTACCTAAGAGCGCGAATTGCCGTTTTTGAAAGCTATATTTAGCGCCATTTTTTTATTATGTCCAAAATTTATATAATAATGTATTCGGCGAGTTGCTAAATATTGCCGCGTGCTTTTTGCTTAAGGATAACTACTATATGAAATTGACATTTGCTTTATTCACTTTTCGAATTGTTTTAATTACTAAACAATATCTAATGTGTGAAATACGGGTTATTTTACTAAGAATAGTAACGTTGTATGTAAATAAGCCATATCTTATTACAATTTATACATACACTAGCGACTCACCCACGCTTCGATAGGGTACGTCCCTAGGGAGGTTTTTATTTTTTGAGTGGAACCCGAATTCTTTTACTGAAATAAAAGTTACTGCTTATAACATCAACTACCTGCCAGAGAAAGTTCCGTCAAAATCGGCCCAGCCGTTTCGGAGATAAGCCGGACCAAACACACAGACAGACAGAAATTTTAAAAATTGTGTGTTTTCTTATAAATACCGCATATAATTCAATATGCACTTAGTAAAAAGCTGTTATTTTGACATTACAAACAGACACTTCAATATTATTTATCTGTATGTATAGACAATGGCCTAAGTTAGGTCATGTCGTAGTCTTATCTGTGTACTAAATGAAATGAAATAAACTTTATTCAATTAGACTTATTACAAGTGCTTTTGAAATTTCATCAAAATCTGTCCAGTCGATTTAGCATTAATGAATCATAAACATACACATACACACATACAAAATTTCGCATCTATCTATAATAGTATGTATTATGTTTTTTTACTGAAAAGTGTATAATTAGACAGTGCTTTTAATATTATATATTCAATTTATGAAACAAATGATAATATCTTATGTGTGCGACTTCGCATTGCGATATTAAATTGAAAAATTAACTTTTAGTATTCAATTGTGTTATTTACGATAGGCAATAAAAAAATATGTTTTGTCTTTCTCACTGTGTTTTTATACGGGATTTTAAAGGTGTATGAAAATTTAGTTAAGCATTTTTCGATACACAGTAATGTACGAATATACATATATACATAAAGAGGTCAACTCTTTATGGTCAAGCCAATATTAATAATACAATTTATTTCGGGACTTTTAAATTAATTAAGTGTTGCGTAAGTTTGGGTTCCAGCCGTGACTGGAGTGCAAATATTCGGGCTCATCACACAAATGAATGCCCCCAGCGAGACTCGAAGCCGCGACCGCTGGCACAGCAAGTACACCACAAATTGAGCCAAACGTGTCGTCAAATTACACTTATGAGTGTAGAGACAACTTTGTTGTATTTTTTCTTGCTTGCGAAGTTTGTGCACAGTGGCCGAAAATTTTAAAATATAAAATTAGCGAAAAAATATTGAATATATATCATTTTTTATCTTGTCAGGCAGTTGTATTACAAACCGATTTTACATTAGTTGGTGACGTTCGTATTTGTTTTTAATAGGTACGAGTACAGATGTATGTATAAATTATCGCGTATGAATCATACAGGAAAATCATACATGGTTTTTGTTGTGCTGTTTGTGCTTAGATTAGTCTTTAAAGGATTGTTATGTAAATATTAAATAAATAGATTAAAAAAAACATGACGCGGGTTCAAATTCCGGGTCTCGCACCTGTGATATTTTCATGTGTGAATCATTTTCAACATGATTACCATTTCACGTGGTACCATCACTACACGTTGAAACTTAATGAATTTAGGTGATCCACGGAGATCTATAGTTAGTTAGGTTAATACATATGTTAATGATTTGTTTCTTATTTCAAATATTGTAAATATTATAAATGCGAAAGTTTTTGAGAATGTATGGATGTTTGTTACTCTTTCACGCAAAAATTACTGAATGGATTTTAATGAAATTTTATAATAATATAGCTCGTACATCAGAATAAAACATAGACTACTTTTTATCTCGGAAAGATGTACGGTTCCCGTCGAATAGATTTGTTTATGTTTTTATAGAAGCGAACCCGAGCGAAGCGAAGGTTAGCCGCTAGTAAGTAATATTTTTTTTATTTTTAAGTAAATTTTATATTTAAGTAAAATTCCTTATAGCCGTTGAAAATATCGACCAAAGTCTTTCTTTTCGTCATGTTATTACTTTATTATGCGCACTGCGAACTATATTGCTATTTTGTTTGGAACCAAGTTCCTTATCGCACGTTATAATCGGCATCGGTTATATTTCAACCATCACGACGTGACGCCATCATAAGTACCAGGAGGTCATAAGTGTCAAGGAAGTATTATTTATAGCCTAGTTTATGTGGCAAAAACAGACGGCAAAAGCAACTTCGTTCCTACCGGGTGTCCCACGATACCTGTCGACATTTTATTTTTATTATTTCTGATCATGTTACCTGCAAAACATACTGCTTATATCTAACTACGTTTATTATTTTTAATTATATAGATCACTCGCGACTTATAGTTTCGGAGATTATCCGAAACAAACAGACAGACAGACAAAAATGTTAAAAATTTGTTTTTTTTTATCAGTACCGTATATACTTTCATATGTATTTAGTAAAAAGCTGTTATTTTGACATTACAAACAGACATTTCAATTTTATTTATCTGTACATATATAGCAAAAAATATTACTTTACCGTATATTTGATGAAGTAAATATAATTCTTTCCAGGACGCGGCAGCATCAGTGTCAGAGAAGATACACCAATTGCCGAAGAAACATGGTCTTGTACCGATATTCATAAATCCCAATACCGGACACTTCTTACCCCACGCAACTATAACTCTAGGCGCTAGAGGCGACAGCTATTATGAATATCTTCTCAAACAATGGTTGCAGACCGGCAAAACTATTAATTAGTAAGTAACTATATACAGAAAATTTAGGTAAATTAATGCCAAATCATAATAAAAAAAATATTTGTGTTCAAAAAATAAAAAAAAAATGTTTAGGGTAGATATCGATTAGGTGTATGAAAAATAATCTACGTCCTATTCTCAGATTTATTCAATATATATGTGTATACAACACAAAATTTCAAAAGAACCGGTCAAGCCGTTTCATAAGAGTTCTGTTACGAACACTGTGACACGAGAATTTTATATATTAGATTAGTAGGTTCTGCACTAGAAAACGACCTTCACCCATCTGTTTAACGGATGAAAAGTATTTTATATCAAATTTAATATATGTATTAGAAAATATGTCTCGAGTGGGGGGCTGTCTACAAAATTCCTGGCCAGACTATGTTAATTAAAAATTGAAAAGATTAAAAAATATAAAAAATTAGAAAATGCTATTAAGTTTACATAGGCACGTGAATTAAATCTAATGCACGGACGTCACACGGTCGATGCCAAATGAATATATAGTACACGGACAGTCGACGTGTTAATTTCTATAGTTGTTTTAGCTTATTTAAACTATTAAGGAGGATTCTTAGATATATCAAATAAATTCCAATACTCCCAAAAATAAACACACGTACTTGGTAGTAAGTTTTATTATATATATAAATTTTTCAGTTTAGTGGACGACTATATGACAGCTATTGAAGGAGTGAGGGAGTACTTGGCGAAACATTCCTCTCCCAATAATCGGTTATTCATTGGCGAATTAGCATCAGGTTCGGAGGTGAGTAGTGCTCTGCTTATATTCTGTTATAGATTTTATATTACTTTAAAAGTTTTTAGAATCTAACAAACAAAAAAAGTATATACGATACAATACATTTTTGTCTGTCTGTTTTCGTTTTCCGTTTATTCCTGTTAATCTCTGAAACGGCTGAACTGATTTTGACGGGACTTTCACCGGTTGATAGCTAATGAATAAGGAGTAACTTGCCGACATTTATTTTAGAAAAAGAATTAATGTTCAGTTAAAAATAATTGAAACGTACCTAGGGATGTATTCAGGAGTAGTGAGGGTAAGTTGCTATTGTACCAATATAAATAAATAAATATGTTGGGACATTAACACACAGCACCATCTAGTTCCATGGTAAGCTACGAGGCTTGTGTTATGGATACCAGATAGTTGATACACTACACATATATAACTTTAAATACATACATGTAATAAATATAAACATCCAGGACTGGAGTAAAAACATTCGTGATCATCACACAAATTAATGCCCCCAGCGGGACTCGAACCCGCGACCGCTGGCATAGCAAGTAGGGTTACTCTACAAACTGAGCCAAATGTGTCGTCAAATATCAATATACTAGCTTGCTTCCATATACAAACTTTCATCCTCATTCACACACTCTTAAGAGATGATTTCCGGGATAAAAACTATTTCACTCACTCACTTTTCATATGAGATTTAAAAAAAATCTTAGTGATGTTTAGATTTTTTTTTCTTAAAATTTTCTCCTATACAAAGCTAGTACTGACAATAACAAACAAAAAAAAAACAAAGAAATATCCAACTCGGTGCAGTCGATCGGAAGTCATGCACCTACATACATTTCGGTGATTCATTTTTATTTATATAAATTTCATTGTTTTCAGTCGTTTAATCCCAAAATGGACCATCTGACATGTTTCTTGCCGGGTACGTTAGCTTTGGGCCATGCTAATGGTTTGCCGGACTGGCACATGTCTATGGCAGAGGAACTTCTATACACTTGTTATTTGACTTATGCCGCACACCCAACTTTCTTAGCGCCTGAAATCACACATTTTAATATGGTAAGTCTTTAATATGATATAAATTATAATCCAACCTTCTTAGATGTCTCATCCCTCATTAACTCACATACCTATCTATCTATCTATCTCATTCACACAATATCTATTGCACAACTTACTCATCCTACATATATGTATAATATAAATTATAGAAAAAAAATGGGCGCTTGTAACTTTTACGCGCGGTTGAAGTAAAACTTTCTGAGCAAAAATATCGCAATTGAATTATAACAAATCAATAATTATATTAGGCATATTACAATTATATATTTAACGAATATCATATACGGAAAGTATATAATATCATGCATTTGTCAGACAACAACAACGGTTACCATGTCAACATGGTAATATATCTCATTCTCTCGCCGGCTTGATCCTATATATTTATCTGTTGTTTATCTGTGTGTTATGTTAGTCTGTTTTTAGTGTCGCATTTTCGTTTCATCGAGTTGAAACCCGAATCGTATCGTTATGATTTGAAATCATAACAATTCTAAACAAGTTCACTTGAAAAAGGTTTATTTTTAAAATAGAAGAAATAAACTTTCTATTGTAAAATTCAACAAATATTGATACTTTCAACAAAGCACTAAGGCGACGATGTATGTGTTATTTTATAATCATCAACATTGGATATAAAAACATTACACAATATAATAACGTTTAATGAACATATCATTAAAATGTTACAAGATTATAAAAATAATAATCTAAAAAGTGTTTGTTAGAACATAAAAAAAGAGATTGTTGCTAATTGAGTATATATTTTAATTGAAAAAACTATGTACTATATGTACATGTATGTATGTAAGCAATTTATTTATGAAAGCTTAAATGTAATAACATTTATATATCCTACTAATATTATAAATGTGAAAGTTGTTGAGGATAGAAGGATGTTTGTTACTCTTTCACGCCAGAACAACTGGACGGATCTGGATGAAATTTGGCGCAGAGATAGATTATAGTCTGGAATAGCACATAGGTTACTTTTTATCCCGGAAAAATGTACGGTTCCCGTGGGGTAGATTTGTTTTTGTATATGGAAGCGAGGATGAGTCGCTAGTTAAACCATAATCTATACATGTAATAAAATTGTAACTTAGCCGAATCTGTACATTAAATATTTTTTGGAAAATCTTATTAAAAACAACATCAATATCGATACAGAGGCCGAATCTATAGTTTTAGAATTTTTGTCTGTCGTCTGTTACTGCATCATAGAAAAACCACTGGACGGATTTGTGAAACGGAACTGATGAAATTTGGTATGGTGATAGCTGGGTTATCCGGGTCAACATATAGGGTACTTTTTACAAAAATACCAAAACTGCATTGTAAGAGTATACTAATATGTAAAACCTAAGAATTTGGTTCTTGGTCATCTGAACGCGGGCGGAGCCGCGGGCAATGCTATTTTTCTATAATAAAATAACTTTAGTTATCCTACCCTTCAATAGATGGCGTTGTTTCATTTGCCACACAAACTGAATCGCGCTATGGTTTGGTTAAGGGATATTCTGTCGTATTACACTTTGATTCAAACCAATGCCTACTTTCAATACAAGCAGCTTCCATACTAACTTTTATCTCCTATTAAATAACTTTCCTAAGCGAGGAATTATTAAAAATTCTTCAAAAATGACATATTTAATTGTAATACTTATTAAAAAAAATGTTTAGAATTAAAACCAACGTATATTGTAAGGTATAGTTGGTGCCGTTTTTGAATTTTTTGAAATCATTTTGTAGAATTGTTTGTAGACACTATTAGAAATCCTTTTTTACACAGTTCTCATTTTTCTTGTATATTCAATATGTCAGACTGAGGTTCATCAATACATCTATTAACGTGTGAGTTGTATTAAGTACTTCAAAGAAAACACGGGGTGTAGAATAAAAAATCCTAATTATTACTAGTAATTTATACGATTTAATAGTGAAATATTTGCCAGATAGTCAATTTATATTATTTTTATGATATGTTATAATTCGTTTCACCGTTTACAAAAAAAAAAATATTAACCGACTTCAAAAAACAGTAAAAATTAAAAAATTACTGATTGGCAGTTTTCATTTACTATAGATACCTAATCAGGTATTTTCGAAGTCGGTGTGCTTTAATTTTGGCTGGTACCGAAAACTCACAAACTTTGACATTTATAATAATACTAGCGACACACGCTCGCTCCACTCGAGTTCGTCCCTACTTAAGTTTTGACGTTTAGTATAGATTTCTCAAAGATGAGATATTTTCCCGCAGTAAAAAGTATCCTATAAAAACTATGTGTTATTCCAGACTATAAATCTATGTCTGTGCCTAATTTCATCCCGATCCGTTCAGCTGTTATGGCGTGAAAGAGTAACAAACATACATCAATTTTCACAAACTTTCACATTTATAATATTAGTATAGATTTACCAATGTTGTCTATGATATTATAGTACTTGTATTAATTAATTGTGAAACTGCTGGTAGACCTTGAATAATGAAAATATTGGCAATAAAACACATATATACTATTTCATTTCCAGGCCAGCGCAACCGATGATATGTACACTAAATCAGCGGACGCCCACAGCTTACTGCGACCGGAGTTTGTAGAGAGTCTGTGGTACATGTACCAGATAACTGGCAACGCGACCTACCAGGATTGGGGATGGCAGATCTTTCAGGTAAATACTATCAATCAATCTGTTCATACATAAAAAATGTATGTATATGTGTATATATATATATATATATATATATATATATATGTAGGCACGTAAGAAGCTATAGCTAAAGATTTCATCCCGTATGTCACAACTCTGTTTTTAAAAGGAATGAAAAATTATTAAAATAATCAAGTAAGGCATATCACAATCATATATTATATATATTAAGGAAAGAATATTATGTACACACGTACTTATTTAATTTTATTGAAGAGTATTAAAACCAAGTTTCAAGTAATTCTGATCATAAATATTTTTTTGTATTATATGTTTTCCCGTGGGAATTAGATATTCTCCCGCAGTAAAAAGTAGCCAATGTCACTTTCCAGCCCTCCAACTATCTCCACACAAAAAATCACGTCAATCCGTCACTCCGTTTCGACGTGAAAGAAAAACAAACAAACTAACAAACACCCACACTTTCACATTTATAATATTAATATGGGTATATCGTTGCAGGGATTCGAGAAATATGCCAAAGTGCCTAACGGCTACACATCACTTGCCAACGTCAAAACTGAGAAGCCAATTACAAGAGACATGATGGAATCCTTCTTCCTATCGGAGACACTTAAGTATCTATACTTATTATTCAGCGATGATCGATTCGTTATAGATCTAAGCAAATATGTCATAAACTCCGAAGCACATCCATTGCCAATACACAAGAATTAGATGTCTAGCTTTACAAAAGTCTCAAAAATATATATGTACACAACATTTACATATACTTGATCTAATATTTATATAGGGGGTAATTGTTTTTAATTTTACCACCCTAATAATTACCAATAACTAGGTATTTTTACCTATAAGGCTAGATCTACACAGTCAATGAAGAGTGTTAGTATAGTGTCATCAAGCAAAACGTTGAATGTTACTTGTCTAGATAATATAGTAAATCAGTGTATAGATAGTCTTAAAGGCTCGTTTTAATATGTAATCGTTTATATATTGGTATCTGTCCTTATTATTCCAATTAGGTTAGTTAAATATTCACCTGTAGGTGGGTATCGATCAAAATAGTACTAGACACAATCAGCAACAAAAAATGTCCTCACCAAATGGGAGCTCATTTGAATTTTGAGCGCGCTTTTGATTTTTTTTGAGAAAACTACTTTAAGTATTGCATTTAAGGTTCAATTTACTTTGTTGTACATATATTTCAACTAGAATAATTACCTAAACACAATTGGTGACAGTTTTAAGACAACTTTTGTACGGGATTGTGTATCTAGTAGTTTTTTGATCGATGTTGATGGGTTATGAAATGGAAAATGTTTTTATCTTTGTTTCTTTAATACACTTATCTTTAATTATATCCTAAATATAATATATTTCTCGTTTCCAGTTTAAATTTTAAAATAAATCTGCATGTAGTATTTATTTATTTATACACTAACGTTTGTCCGCGGCAATGCTCGCGTTTATTTATGTGTAATAGGGAATATGCGTGTTTATTTCATTTTTTATACAATAGCTTACATCGTTCTATAATTGTAAAAAAATACCCAGCTCTAAAATTACTATTTTTTATTACGTCCACTTTAAACGTCCGTGTCATTGGCGCCATTTGCGTGAGCAAATTTTATTATAGCAATTTTGTCGCTAAAAATCGTCTTCATTTTTCGCTCTAAATTGGCAACACTGGCTCTATTATTATAAACTTTGACGTCACATTCGGTCTGACCAAGGACGTTGCGTTTCAACTACTTCGAATTTCTCATCTATATCTGCACTTTTTAATCATTATTTTCTTAATCAAAATGAAACTATATTAAAAAAATAAATGTGGCACTCGGAGAAAAAATATTGATATAGACTTAATTCAAAAGCAATAAAGATTATAAAAAAAAATATTTTAACTTTATTTAAATCACACGCATTGTTGGGTATAAAATGCGGTAAAGGGCTGGTTCTAAGAGAAAATTTCAGTGGACTGTATATAAGAGAGAGAATGACCAGAAATGCCTGTTTATAACGGACTGCGGGACGTTTCTATAGGCAACAGACTGCGGGATGTGGAAAGCGGACAGCGGGAATAAAAAGCACGCCTACCTTGCTGTAGCTTCAGCGCCAATGATGATAACGGCAGCGGTTAGATGACGATGGCGGTGATGTACTCATGAGGGCTCACGTCACAGAGCGCGGGTTTACGTTTCGAGACTCAAACGGTGAATTGCGAACTATCTGCGCATGATGACCCTTCAAATTGCAGGCGTGCATATAAAAAGGAAACACGCATATTCCCTATTGTACCCCTCGTAAGGGTGGTACCGTGATGTTAGATAGTCTATAACTTTCCTCAATAAATAGGCTATGAAATGCAAAAAGAATTTTCGAAATTGGACTGATGGTTCAATATGATATTATTATCTGTGCGTGTTCAAACAAACAAAAAAAAAGTTCAGCTTTATATTAGTATATATAGATTAATTTTACATATCTCACTTAATATATATTTATTTTCTTATTAAAATGTCTATGAATATTTATATATATTTTGTTATTGATGGTAAGTATCGTGTATTACGAGCATTACGTACGTGCTTCATGTATACATATATATCACCGTAAAATTGTACATACCGTTAGATTGTAATCTATCTAGCGAGATTGTAAATTGTCGAAAGATTGAATCTTATTATACTGCTTACAATATAACGCATTATCATATTCGGTAGATTATAAATCTATCGAAGTGAAACCGTCCAATTGTGAAATGGAAGAATTTACCATAGTGTTACAAAACTATAAGAGTAGGCATAATTATGGCGTTGTGATCACTGTTCTAACCTAACCAACTTAGAAAGAAAGAAAGGATTCTTCTCAGTATGCCGACTGTAGTAGATTTGTAACTCTATGGTAAACTCTTCCATTTCACAATTTGACGGTTCCACTTCGATAGATTATAATATACTCGTACATAAAAATAATGCGTTTAATTGTAAGCAGTATGTTACGGTTCACAATCTTTCGACACTTTACAATCTCGCTAGATAGATTATAATATAAGGGTATTTACGATTTTACTGTGACATATATAATAAACATGAAGCGTACTTTAAAGTACTAGTAATAGTGGATGATAAAAAATGGCGTATTATTCTAATCGTAAGGTAAGCAATATTTTTCACTATAAGTAATTTTATCCATGTATATTCTTTTATTTACTTGTTTTTTTTTGCCATTTATACATTTTTTTTAAAGATGAAGAAATTTGAGCATTTTACTGATTCTTCAACGACTGTAGATTATGTACAATTTAAGAAAAAGACATTTAATTATAAATCCTCAAACGTTAGTCTCGTCTAGTTTTTAATTTTTCGTATCTATACACAAATGCGTATATTATTTTGTTAGGTTGTTCCACTTATTGTAAACTATTTAAATTGATTACATATTAATTATTTTTACAGCATTTTTTGAATACAATAATCATTATACTTTAGAATAATTTTTAAATCATTTTTTATGTGTATCTTTTTTTATATTAAAATATTACTAATGTAAGACTATTAAAAATATAATGAAGCCAGTAATATTATTAGAGAAATATTTAGTATAATTTTTGGCATTTTGCAAAAAGTCTGAATTGTAGTGTAGACACGAATATTTGACTAGATATTTAAATTGTATTGGATAACCAAAAATTGTCTTGTAAAGTTAAACTCATTGTATGTAATATGAATTCATCGTAATTAGGTTAATTTATAATACGTTTAAAATATTAATAGGTTTGTGAAAATAATTTGCTTAGTTACCCTTATAGTCTAAGATCCCGATCTATGTGGTGTGACCCCTTATTATTTTTCCAGACGAAATATATTTTTTAAACCATAAAACATACTAACAAACACGATCTCTGGGAGTTGTCACCAAAAATTTGCTCCAGGCTATTTTTTACTAAAAAACCTCTAGTCTGATGATGTTTTGGTATGACAACCCTTTATCATTAAACTTGTTAGAAAATTATCTACATTTTGATACTTGTTTCGTTCCGGAAACCGATACGAGCAATTAACTACTTCAATTTTTTTTTATTAAAATTAGACTGGTTTTTTGGAAATTACTAATGAGTTACTTATAGAAGAAAATTATTTTCTTGTAAACGTGAATTACGGTGAAAGAAAACATCGTGAGGAAACCTGCATGTCTGAGAGAACCTAGCAAGTTTTCGAAAGACGTGTGAAGTCCACCAACCCGCACTTGGCCAGCGTGGTGGACTATGACCTGATCCCCCTCATACAGAAAGGAGGCCCGTGCCCAGCAGTGGGACTTTAAAAAAAAGGGCTGTATACATGATTAATCACAAACGTCAATTAATTATGGTAAACACCTACGATTAATACATTATTATTTACATTATATTAATCAAATAATCTTGTCTTGTGTGATGCGTCTGTTCTGTTAATTTTGTGCTTACCTATTAGTATTTTGAAGGAATATATTTTAGTATAGTTACCTACATATTCGATTCGGTTAACCAAGTTTTTATATATTTCGAATCGAACATGTGACCCGTTAACGTATATAGCACTTTCAGGATTATAGTGACCTGAGTGAAAATATGAAAGAATTATTAAGATATCTCAACAAATGAAAATGTATAGTTGCGCTATAACCATGATAAGAAACTTTAAAGTAACGCTTGTAAGTATAATTTTGTGATATCACACGACCTGAACGACCGAAATTTATATTAATATCTTAGTCATTTATTGATAGATAGTCATTTATTGATAGATTTCGAAAAAAAAATCACTGATTTATTAGTTTTTATCTTTATTATAATTCCACTAGCGAGCGAGGGTGAGTACCCTCGCTTCCCGCGGGTTCGTCCCTAGATTGATTCACTTTCACCCCCTTAAGGGATGATTTCCGGGATAGAAACTATCCTATGTGCTTCCCAGGGTCTCAAACTATCTTCTTACCAAATTTCATCTAAATCGGTTCTGTAGTTTCGGAGCCTATCCGGTACAAACAAACAAACAAAAAATAAATCTTTCCTCTTTATAATATTAGTATAGATTGCGTTAAACAACATCATGAAGCTTCTCCATTATGTAAGATTTACGATAAAATATATACATATTTTATGTATCACTCAAAATATTGACGTTTCGACTTAGGTCACTATAATTAAAAACATCAGGGCAAAATTGATTTAACATACGTATATTTTTTGTTAAACTTAAATAAATAAATTCTAAAAATATATATTATTTATAATGTACATCCATTTTAGTTGTTTTAACTTCTAGTATAATACTCTCGTCTTAACAATGAGGGCCCTAACTAACAATTTGGTCAAAAATTACTTATATACAGATTCGGAATCAGCAAAAAACATGCTATTCGGTAGTCTTACTCATAAAGCTCTCTTATGAATCCGGAGATACCATTTTCATCGTAACTACAACAAAACTACTACTAAGTACTAAGACAAAACTTTAAATATCTCTAAATCAACTTTGACGATGTTGCGGCCTTCTTTTTTATGACGGCAGCAATATACATATGGACATATACTGGTATGGCATTCTTTTATAGTAATTGTTTTGAAGTTAGGCCGCTTTTGCGCTAACGTCTAAGATATATGTACATAATATTTATGTATATTATGTAATTCGGGATACGATCTCGTCATCTAATATGCCACCTACTAATGA